TCAATTCGTAAACTAAAGTAACTGTTTACGAGTTGCTAGTTGTAAATTGCCTTTTGGAAAATAAAATTAGCTCAAAAAGTCGACTAGTAACAATGTTTCACGTTTCATACGAGTATAAATGATATTCTATCCAGAGTATTTGGTAACAAGTGAACTGGACTATTACTATTATTGAGATAATTGAGTTAGCATAGATAGTTTAGACGAATGAAAAATAAGTAGTGTAGTCAATAGTGTAGAACAATAGATAGATTTTGATTTTATTGACAATCAATAAAGCAAAGATACATTAGCGCAATTTTTCACACATTATTTTATGTGATTAAACTTTTGAATAAAAGTGTGTTTTATGTAAAACAATGGCAATTACACAATTCAAAATTGATTTGCTTGAAGAACAGAATTCCAAGCTTGTGGCTGAGATTACTGAACTTAAAAGGGAGAAGACTGAATTCTTAGTTAAGGAAGCAGGGTTTATAGCTAGAATAATGGAATTAGAACAAAATACTGAAAAAGCGAAATTAAGAGATACCGAGCTCAATACTAGAATTATAGAACTAGAACGGTCAAGTGAAAAACGATTTGCAAAATTGAAACAGAATCAAAACAATACCACAGTTAAGTTAGAAAATGATGATAATTCTTCTGAGAAAGATATTAATGTGCCTAATTCTGTAATAGACAAGTACATCGACCATGCCCGCTCTGCTGATACTAACTCCAGATCATTAGGTGGTGACCCTGCATCTGATATAACTGATGACACTTCAAATTCTGATGTATGTCAGGAGATGAATACTCAACCGAAAGCCTTGATTATATTAGCAGAGATTGTTCAGCCAAGATGCACCACATCACCAATTCGCACAGAGACTAAATCATCAGAAGATAAAGAGATCGATGAATTCTTGAATTCAAAGTATAAGGAAAGAGTTAGTAACGAGATAAGGCAGAGCATAAAGAAGAAGAAATTATAAGATCAAAAAGCCTCTTCAGAAAAACAAGACTCTTTAGGAGAATTAGAAAAGTTGATATCACCTCCATTATCATGTAATATGAAAACTGTGAACACTGTTTACAATCAAGAAAAGACTTCACCAAAAGAATCCATACAAAATATATCTGAAAAATCTATTAGGGATTTAGTGGAAGCTGGTAAATACGTTGTTACAGAATGAAAATATAATGATAAAATAATATTAAAAACACCTGCAATAATTTATAATAACTCTTAAGATAATATTTAGAATTTAATATTAGTTCATGTAACAAATAGTAACAATTTAATAATTACTTTTAACAAATATTTATAGCCTGTAGCACACATTAATTAGTCACGAAATAGTAGTACAAGATC